ACACCAAATTTAATCATAACAGAATCTGTATCACCATAAATAACTTGTGCATTATGTTCATGACCTTTCGCAATTGTATATTCATTTTCAACTAAAGCTTTCGTTTTTTCAATCATTTCACGACCAAATGATGTTACTGATTGAGATATTTCGAGACAAGGTAATTTACCAACTTGTGCACCAGTAAAACCATAAACTGAATTAGCTGATATTTTTAAAGCAAGTTGACGACCATCAAGCACTTTTTTACGAAATTCATCTGTTTCTTCTTTCATCATCTGAATAAAAATTTGAAAATAACATGATTAATATGAATTTAGAAAAGCAATACTTGTTTTGCTCGTTTACGAGCAGTGAGTAAATTTGTAAGAATTTCTGGTAATATTCCACAACAAACTGTAGATTTTACGAAACAATTACCACTTGGTGTTGTAATATAATCATCCTCAGATAAACTGAAAAGAAATGAATATAGATTTCACTATTAAAAAACCAAACAACACAACTTACGTTTGTTTTATTCGTCCATCAGTAATTAATGTTGAATAACATAAATTATGTGCTTGCATTATAGATGGATATAGTGATGAAAAATCTAATGTTGTTATAGGTGTATCATAATAACCACGAATTGGTTCAATAACAGTTGCTCCTGTATAATCATCTCCATTATCCATAATTTTCATTGCTGGTATAAGTAAATTTTTTTCTTTACATTTTCGTAAAATTTGTGAAATAACTTTGATTTGTTGACCACGTTGTAATAAATAATTCATTGGTACACCAGTAACACGAGCCATTTCCATATAATTAATTAGGCACATTAATTTTTCTAATAAACGTAATGGTAAAAAAGCATCTTTCAGACAATAGACAGCAAGACGATGACGTGTTTGTGCATTACCATTCTATATTATTGTATACATAGATATACAAAAACTAAATTTAATTGTAATATTTACTTGTAAATCAGTAATAATCGAATGTTGTACATCTTCTTTTTGTTGTTGAAGAAAATGATAACTAACTGCATTCAATGTATATGAACGAAGTTTATATTCACGAAGTAAAACCAATAAAAGATCAAATAAAATTCGTCCTTCTAAATTAATTTGCTTATTTTCACGTCTTCCCATTTGTTTTGATTGAATAACTATTGCACGTGCTGTAGTTTTTACATCCTATAAAGAATATATAATATTTTAACAATTTTTATTTTTTTTGCAAAAATCTTTTCATACTTTCAATCGACCGAGATATGAAAATGTTGGTACATTAAGATGTTTTGCACGAGCAAGAAGATAGGAAAAATCAAAATTTTGAACATTGTATCCTGTAATTATATCTGGATCGACTTCACGTAAAAAATCAGCCCATTTCTTAAATAGAAAATATATGAAAGATAAATATTAACAGAATTCGTCTATTAACAAACTTCAAGTAATTCATGTTCAGTTTTACATTCAATAACTCCAACACCGGCAATATTTGCACATGTACCCAATGTAAATACAGTTTTAATAAATTCTTCTTTGTCACCTTGACGAATTACCATACTAGCTATTTGAATAACTGGATCATGCTCAGGCTCAGGAAAAATTCCTAAAAAACAAATTTTTCAATATATTTCTTAAACTATACTTTTCTTCTTTAACCTTTTCGTCCAGCACATTCAATATCATAACTCATTATACGTAAAGGTGCAATTCGTTGCCATTCACCTTCAGTTGGATAAGAAATAATATCCTGTGCCCATATGTCCAATTCTATTTGACATCTATATATCAATAAAACAAAACGAAATAAAATAATATTAATTTTATTTACAAACCTTGAATGTAGTTTTAATTGTTGTCCCACCATTCCACGAGTAAGCATTTGTCGTATAAAATATTTTCCAGCAGGAATTTCAATCCAATTACAACCAACGATATGTAAATCAGCCATAAGACTATGATAAAGAAAAAAAAGGTTAATTTCCTTTTTTTCTGTTATGTCAAAATAATTAATAATACCGAATTTCAAAATCAATATTTGTTTCATAAGTTTTATAACCAGAAATTTGAGTTTGATTCCCGGTCCATGAAAAACCACCTTCAAGGATACGTCTTGATGTTGCAATAAATCTTGGTAATAATACACTTATTTTAAGTACTTTATTTTGTTTTGAATTAGGTTGATAACCATAAACACTTGCTTTTTGTTCGATTTCAACACTAAGTACGACATCGCCGTGAATCACATCTTTACCACGCAACTCACTACGTAAAGCAGCTTGAAAATTTTGCTAATTTAAATCAAACAAAAAATCAAATGCGAGAAATATTATTTTTGAAAAGAAAATTTTACTTTATAACGTTCACAATCGGCTGTAGTAAATGAATCCGATGGCATGTTTACATAAAAATATGGAATATAACCATGTAAATGTGCCATAACTGAATAGCCTTCATCAGTAACACCGTAAAGACGTATAACAGTATTATGACCACGAACATGTGGTCGACTTTTATCGAGTATATGTGGTGTACCATCAGTATCTGTATAAGTATCTAAATCAATTTGTTGAAATACAAGTTTATCTGTTGCAGAATTTATTGGTGGAATATCTGGTCGTGACCATTTAACATTAGTTATTTCATAACCTGGACCTTGACCTTTTTTATTTAAAAAAGAAAATAAAATGAATTGAAGATTTTGTTTTTTCTTACCAATTTCAATGACATTTTCTTTATTTTCTGGATCAGCATCATCAAAAGCGGGATCATCCATAAAATCATCTTCGTCATCATCATTCGCCCTATTTTAATAGAATAATAACTATACAATCTTTTTTGATTAAAAAATGAAAACTATTGTACCGTTTTGGTCGTTTAATTTGTGTGCCACCATTCGATGATGGTGCTGCTGATGCATTTTGACCAGCAAATGATTTTCGTTTAAAATTATTTGTTACGCTCATCTAATACAAACAAAAAAAAAGTTCTTTATCTACAATTCTCGTTCGTTTGTTTCAAATAAATAAATCTAAAATCAAAACGAAAAAATCATCATATCAGACTTGAAAAATATATCTGAACTAAAGAAATCATCTAGATTATCACATATGACTAGAGCCAATCTGGAGGAGTATATAAACAACAAAGAATATATTTCTCCCGTTTAACAATTGGATATGAACGATGAGAATAATGATTAAGTACAGCTTTTTCTGCTGTTGATGGATCAATCCAATGAGCTTGACAAAGTGGACAATTAATAGATTTTCCTTGAACACGTTTCCATTCATTCATACAATGCTTATGCATTGATTTACCGCAGGAATAAAAACATGTGACTAATTTTCGATTTTTCATAAGTAAACTTTCAAAACATATTGGACAAACATCCGTATAATCAATTGATTGACGTTTAAGTGTTAATGGTAATTTTTCTTTTTTATTTATTTGTACTAATGGTGTAACAATTGGACAAAGTCGACGAACTTGTCCTTGAAAAATATCTTCGAGATCAATACTTGTAAATTGATGATATTGCATAATAGACAGACGAATATCAAATGAATAAAGATTAACATTAAATATACGTTTGAGAACGAATAGAAAATGTTTACAAACAAAATTTTTTC